AAAAAAATCACTCTTAATGAAACCAAATATAAAATCTATGAAGAACTTTTTAATTTTAATAATATCAAAAAATCTACTAGCAAAATTTTCATTTCATATAAATATATATATATATATATATGTGCTTAGATGACAACTTTATTTGACCAATCCTTGTCCTACCTTAGGCACTTTATAGATAGTTGATTCTCAAAATGGAGTGGCGGTGGGTTTTGGTGGTCCAAGTAGGCCACCCTGGTTCCATCATGACCATGTGCCATTTCTCTGTTCATGTACCAACCATCAAGCCTTAATGGATTGGTACAGGACCCTAATGGGATAGCTTCATATAAACCACTTAAATGTACCCACCAACCTAGACTCCCTATATATATATATATATATATATAAATTTGTGTTTCAAATAATGTCCAATCCCATTAAAATTTGGTCAAGGCAAGGTGCCATACCTAGAGGGAGAGATAGGGGCTTTCAAATCCAATCGAATCTTGGGAGACTAGTAAAGACATCAAATCTTGAGGATTTGGTGGTAATTAAAGCATGTGTTGTTATCTGTGAAATCAATTTTAATCAGACTACAGTGAATTTATCATTGTGATTGAGCTAATGTGCCTTCGAACTCACTTTGGCCCAATCAAATGAGACATTGTTGAGGGGGGATTTTGTTCAATGCTAGACGTGGGCTTCTTCGTCCAAATCACATGCAAACCCTAAATGTGTCATTTGATGCCCACTCCATTTTCTTCTTGCCATGCATGGGTCCTTTCCATGTAAGTTACTGGCTCACAAAGCTATCAGAGTTAAATCATGACATGTAATAACATAAAACAAAAACTACAAATCACACTAAACACATGGATGATTTCAACTATGTAAACAAGAGAGGAAATGTACAAGTCTCTGAAATGCTACCCCCCTCTATTTGTTTTGGATTTTCAAAATTCTCAATGAGGGATGCAAACCCTAACACCCTTTTGGTTACATAGAGACGAAAAACTAGTTTGGAACCTGCAGGATAAAAATTGCTTAAAAAAAATTACTTGCTTATGATTCAGGTAAAAATTGGATCTCAACGTAACCTGAGTGGTAACAGAATTCAAGTCACAACTTAACAAATTCTGGTAACAGAATTCAAGTCACAACTTAACAAATTCGTTTGACACAACTTTAATCACCTCCCAGAAATCGACTCAGGCTACTGGAAACTAGAAAGATTGGGTTATTGAAAACAGTCGTGTGTATAACAGTTGTGGGTTCTTAAGAACGTTTATAACAATAAATATGTACTAACAATTTTGGAGACATCACGCACAATAATGAGTGACACAAAAGGATGTGTTAGAAGAAAGGGGAGAAGCAAACAAACTCGGGAGATTCAATGGGAGAGGCATTAAATTCAATATCCCATTATAAAAAAATTTAACCTAGTACCATTTTTTTTTTGTCTATTTTAATAGAGGTTTAAAAATCGCCTTTAATGCTATGAAGCAGACCCTTACTTAAATGTTCGATAAATTCAGTTATTACAGGCTTAACACCCTTCTTTCAAGTGGTGGTATGGTCTAATTGCTTTGTTAATTCAGGATTCATTTATAAAAATTGAACATTAAAGGTCGATCCAAAAAAATGTTATTTTTATTTTTTATTATTGGCAATTTTAGCCCAGAAAAAAAATTATTATTAATATTAGCCCACTCAAAAAATTTATTATTAGTATTAGCCCACTAAAATTTTTTTTTGGCCCACCCCATTAACAATTCCTGGATCTGCCGTGATAATGGCCATTTAATGCTTTTGGTAGTGATTGAAAAAAATTATTGTCTTTCAAGATTTCTTTTGACAAAATACGTGAATACTCATTTCTTGGAAAAGTAAAAAACTTAGGCCATGCTTAGTTTGTAATTCTGAAAATAATTCTCAAGACTCATAAAATAGAAAATTATTTTCAGATAACTATAAAAAATATTTCTCTAAAAAACGAAAAACTGAACCAATGAGAGTTTTTTTTGTGCAATTTTCTGACAGCAAAAAACTATTTCTAGAGTCACAAACCAAATAGACACTTAAATACTTTGACGATTGGTTCCTCAGCCTCAATCCAAGGGGCGCGAATCACCTGCTGTAATTATTCCTGTAGTCCTCTGCTGTCCACTGTCTTGTGGCGTTGGTTTGGCCACGTATTTCTTCATAAAATAGACACTAAGTCCGCGTTTGGCAATTACATCACTATTTATAAGTAACATTTCATCACCACATCACATGATCTAAAAAGTAACATCACAATAGTCTAAAAGTAACATCACCATTTATGTGCATAGCTTAATTTAATGGTGAAGATACACCACCATTTATAAGTAACAATTCACCACTATTTATAAGTAACATCACAGGATTTAAAAAGTAACATCATAGGAGTCTAAAGGTAACATCACCATTTATGTGCATACCTTAATTTAAGGTGAATATACTTATAAATGGTGATGAAATGTTACTTATAAATGGTGGTGTAATTGCCAAACACAATATGTTGAATTGAGTTAAGTTTGTATGTGATATTACTTAATTTGTATTATGTGCATAACTTATTTTGTGTGTGAAAATACTTATAAATGGTGGTGAAGAAGGATCTAAACGCTGCCTCAATTCCACTCAAACGCTGCCTTAAGAGCTATTAAATGAAGAATGATATGGTAAAATGTAAGCCACTTAAAACTCACAGCAGGAACTGCATAGGAATCTCACAGCAAAGGATTTGCGTCCCAATCCAAGACCCTTACAGGTGTGCCAATGTACAATCGAAAGGAAAGTAAACCCACCCTGGCTTCTCATTGTTTGTAGTCTTAGCCTCTGAAGAGAAAACTCGGTTATGTCTCAAGGGACTTCCTTCAGGGGGATGACTTAATTAATCTCAGCGTAAATCCTAAGTGAAAGATCCTTCTTCGTGTGTCAAATGACCTAAGAGAATATCTCATAGCCTTCGAAAACCTGGGAGCAGTGCCCTAGAGTCTTGACTTGAGAGGGGTGCCTCGCAAAATTTAAATGACCTAAGAGCATACCTCAAGCTTTTAAGGGACCTAGAGCTATGTTTCTAGGTTTTGACTTGAAAGGAATGCCTTACGAAATTTGAGGGACCTAAGATTGTACCTCATGGTTTTAAGAGACTTAGGAGCAGTTAGTGTCCTGAGAAATTTAAGTGACATGAAAGTATGTCTTAAGGTTTTAAGGGACCTAGAAATGGTGTTCCAGAGTTTTATTATTATTTTTTGTTTAACTAAAAGGGCAAGCCCTGCAAACATTAGGTGAGCTAGAGCATTTTTCAGGGTTTAAAAAGACTTAATGAATGATTCTCTGCAATCCAGACCCTAAAAAGAAAAGAAATCGGTAACTAAGAAAACACCAGTGTGATGTCTTCCAAGGACCCTCCAACGATTAAGTTATCGTCTAAAAATAATGAACCAGAAAGGGCGAAACGTGATCGATGATTTCCATGCCTCCTTGGGCTGATAAAGTTTTTGACTTGAGAGGAGTTCCCTACGAGCTCTGAGTGAACTAAGAACATATCCCAATGTGTTAAGGGATCTGGGAATGATGTCTTAAGGTGGCGTGTGTGGTTTGAGTGACCTAAAAACATGCATCAAGGCTTTAAAGGAATTGAGAAGGATGTCTTAAGGTTTTTCACTTGAGGAAATGCCTTATGAGGTTCGAGTGACCTGAGAAAATGTATTAGAGTTTTTGGGAACGATATTCTAAGGTTTTTGACTGAACGGGAATGACCTATAAGGTTTGAATTTACATGAGAGTGTCTCTAGATTTTAAAATACCTGGAAATAAGGGTTTTGGCTTGAAAGGAGAGCCCTTGCGAGATTTGGGTAACCTGTTGAGAGAATTTTTGACTAGTATTAGATTGGAATCTCGTATGTCACGCATGTGGTGTGTGCCTTACACCCACAAAGTTGATACTTGATAGTACTTAAAAGCTAAATAAAGGAGGATATTACCAACAGACCATTAGCCTAATAATATAAACGGAGAATATTATCAGAGGACTATTAATCCAATAAGTATAACCAGAGTATATTACCAACCACCATTAGTCCAATAAACCTCTCCTCCCTCTCAGGGAAGGTGAGGAGGGGTTCAATATTTTAATTAATTCAGGCTTATTCTATGCTTTAAATTTAGTATATTTTAATGGGTTCAAATAGAAGACTTGGGAGAGAGAGCCCCCCTCCACACACACACAATTCCAATTCCAATTTAACTTGGATCCAGTTAGCAACGTCTTACTCAACTTCTAGCCACTAGAGCCCTTTAGCAACTCATCGTTTTTATTTTAATTTCACAATGTTATATAAATTTAAAAAAAAATAATCTTGAGTGAATTAATGGAATAAACTTCGAATGAATTAGCTAGTATCTTACATTTTACTCGGATCCAAATTTTCATCCTATTTGATCAATCAATAAAAATTCAAAGGAGAAGAATCCCATAAAAATTAACACTAGTAATAATAATTATAAAAACGAATGCTCTACAAATATGACACTTAAGTTTCAACTTTCTTCAATATTTAAAAGATTACATTGAAATTATCTCTGAAAGCAAATTTTTTTTGTTTAGGGAGTGTAGAAGATTGGACAATCTATAACAGTTTAATCTTCTTCACTAATAAATTCAATAACTATAGGTTAGAAGAGGAGGCGTAATCATTTTTTTTTTACAAGGCAAGAATGGTTAGAAGTTAGATTAGTAGGTACAAAGAGTCGAAGCTTAGCACACAAAATCTACCAGAGGCACTAACCACTGGGCTATCTGCAGGAGGCTTAATCATGAAATCCTAAAATTTGATGACCAAACTAACTTTGAAACTTGGTGACCCAAAATTTTGGTGGATTAGTCAAAAATATAAATTGACTCTTTGATTGATCCAAAGAGAATTAAATCCACAAGAGGAAAACGTAATAAGTACCTTCATAGGAACATATTATAATCTAGGGAGTGTCAGGAAACATTGTGCTTATTATTTATAATGGTTGGAAGCAATACTGAAAACATTCTGTTATTGATCATATAGAATATAACAGACAATCTATAAATGGTGTGTGAAAAACGAAAAGCCAATATAGTGGTGGTAAGTTTATGCAAACTAGACAAATAACAATTTCCGAGTAGAGAACAAAAGAATTGCCTATTTTTCCGTCAAACCTCAGTTGATTACCCAAACTAATTGCAAAAAGCATTCAGAAGCCAAGGCGTTGCAGCCCGAGATCGAAAGAGAAGCCGATGTTCCCCAACAAGAACAAGGCAAGAACAACTAGGATTGCAAGAATGACCCACATCCATGTCTGCATCTTTCTCTTACCTTTGTTGCGAAGAGGTGGAGGGATAGATGGTATAGATTTTACCTTGCTCTGCTTAGTGAACCGCGACGGTTTTTGAGGCCTTTTTGTTACTGACATAGCACGCTCCTTCATCTCGGGCTCCTTGGTAGTTTCAATTGGATTTTCTGAGGTTGGAGCAGTCTCTCCTTCATTGTTACCATCGGTGGCCTCTATTGCAACTCCCTTCTTTCTTTCCTTTTTCCTTGCCTTCTTCTCCCTCTCCTGCACAGAGTTTACTCCATGTTTTATCGATGCATACAAATGAAGAACAATAAGTTGTGAAAGACTGATTGATGCACATTTCTCATGGTTCATTAAAATACGCTGAAACTCATTCATAGAATTATAAATATTGAAGAAAGTTACCTTCTCTTTCTGTTCAGCTTCCTTCTGAGCTCTTAACTCAGCCCTCATTTGGGCCTTCTCTACATTTCGTTTTTTCCTTTCTAATGCCTCCTTAGCTTTGGCCTTCTCTTCCAACCGGCGTTGCTCTCTCAGCTTGGCTGCTGCCTCTGCCTTCCTCAATTCCTCCGCCTTCCTGGCCAATTCCTGTTCCTCCTTTGTTTGCTTAGGCTCTTCCTCTTTTGTTTCTTCACTCTCAACCCGACCGGAAACAGTTGCAGATCCAGTTTCCACCACAGGTTTGGCAGGTTCTTTAGTTTTTACTGCCTGATTCTTTTGTTTTTCCACCTTCACTGCGGCTTTACCATCCGCTGCTTCACCTTCCATTGATGACCCCTGTTTTACTTGTTCAATGGTTGAAATCACTGACACGGCATTGGCTTTGACTGACATGGCGTTGGCTTTGACACGGTTAAAAAGAGACCTATCAACTCTCTCATTCACCAAATTGGGCAGTACAGGTGGTTCCTCATCGGGCCCAAGTGAGCGACCATCCAATGTATTCAATCTCCTCAGTGTACTCCTGGTGTTGCATTTGACGTAGTCTCTTCGAAATTCATCATCCTTGTTCCACAATTCCATGAATCTCTCCACCTAAACAATTTATATGTAAATATAAAGCTGGCACTAACCTCTAAAGTAAAGACATAGGAAGAAATGCATGAACTAACCTGGTTAACACAAAGACGATAAAGTGCCTCTCTATTTCCAGACGATTCACAATCATTGGCTGCCATCACATCATCCTTGTACATTCTAAAATGTTTGTTCTGCAGAATCAAGCATCAGAGTTTAATCACAGAATCCAATCTTTGTTTCCCTTAATATGCTTATATATGTTTCAGGCATAAATTTCTGTATCTTGCAAAAGAAAAATGCATCAGCAACAAAACAACATACACTACCAAAGGTGTTTAATCATCCCGCAGATCCAAGTAATCAATCAACACCAACTCAAAAACAGGGACACCAATTAAACCTTAACACTAGGACCAACAGATATGAGATTATTTCATGATTATCTTTTACAATTGAAAAGTTCAAACGAAGATGGATCACATCTCTCATCATGTCTTAATAATTAAAATAGCACAGATCAGATTCGAGGAACCAATTCACCTCTAGAAATTATGTTGGTGGTTATTAGGTAAAGACGTACAAGATAGATAACCACATTACAAGAGAATAGGCCTCAAATTCACCAAGTAAACAAATGCTCTCTTCTATGACAAAACACATGGTTTGCACATAAGCAAACAGTCTGAAAAATCCGAGACATAATGAACCAAATTTATGTCATCAGGTGAACGCCTCATGAGTCATGGCCACTAGACCTCAATAGAAAACCACCAAAGAGACATATAAGGTCCACTGCAGCATACTGTTTAAAATCCATGGACGATGTTATTTGTATGCAGAAGAGCTTCATTATCCACCTTGTTTCCTATAATGCTACACTACTTCAAATGTCCATCACCATATATGGCCAACTAAATTTGAACAGGAATTATCCCAAGAACTATTTGTCATCAACTAAGGATTCCATTTCACCGATTTTCACTAACTATATACATTGATATTTATTAGAATGTAATTACCTATAGTTATTGGGTCCTTTTCATTGGGAAGCTTCCATGATGTGTGTGTGTGTGTGTGTGTGTGTGAGAGAGAGAGAGAGAGAGATTGAAATCCTTACGAACAGAATCAGCTAAAATTGATCAATATCCTTAACAATGGGAACATAAACTTCAAACAATACAAAGAACCATTAGGTTATCATCAATTGAGAACAATTAAACTACAATATGAAATATAATCATTGTTGCATGAATGAGCAAAGTTTAGTACTGTTTCCCATCTCAAATAGAAATTCCTCATCATTTCTCACTCAAAAAGAGCTTTTAGTTTCTTATAGTCCTGTCAACACCCGCCTTACAGCTTCCTGCACTCCACTCTTCTCATGCATTTTTACATTTCAGTGTAATTACAATGTGAAGAACAGGAAGCTAGAAGAGGAGTGCTAACAGAACTGCCTGTGAACTTAGTGAATTAGACATATATATCTCTTCAATATAAATAAATGTATACAAAAAATGGCAGCAACATACCTTCTCATACAATTGCTTCCTCAGACGCTGTAAATGTGCATATGCTTCTTGGCGAATACCATCTGCAGCTCTAAACTTGGCTTTTAATTCCTGTACTTTTTTATTTTCATCAAAATATATCTTCTCTGCCGCATCAGTGGTCACTTTGGCTTCCGAAACCTTGTCTTTGAGGGATTTCACTTCCTTCTTCAGAATCTGCATACCCAGAAAATCAGATAAGCAATTAGAAAACCTACTAACAGATTAAGTGAAGAGTGATTCCATTTCTACAAAGCAATCACTCTCACTCTTCTCGATATAGCCTTAAAATTTGAGATAACGAGCGTCTAATTACAGAACTAATAACAAAAGGAACTTGAAGATCCTACTTTCCATTTATCTCAACTCCTATAGAATAAAAAATGTAAGGAGCCACAGCACACCATCACTTGAATTTTGAGATAAATAATAGCAGCAACCAAGTATCTATACCTTCAAACGCTCTTCCATTTGGACACTATCGTCCAAAGCCCGGTGAACTTCGTCCTGGCTACTCATCATATTTGAAGAGTGCTGTTCCCGAAGTTGCTTCAGTTGCTTAATTTCCCGAATAAACTGCTTTTCTTCTTTCAAAGGCATGGTTTCATGTTCTATCATGTGTTCCATACTTTGTATCTGCTTCCAGATAACAAATTCAATAATATAAGTACAATTGCAAAAAGAGAGAGTTTGAATCACATTCAAGGCATATCCCTTGCCCAGTTTTCTGAAGAAAAAGGAAGGGTGGGTACTTACCCTGCCATCAATATCCTCAACAGAAATTGCACTCTTCACTCTGTTAAGCACAGATTTAATAGATTCTATTTCCTGGAATTTTGACCTAAGCAACCCCCGTTCAGCTATCTCTCCTAATTTGGCAGCATCATATTTACGATAACAGTCCTCACAATTGGCCTGTTAATAAGAGTAAACCAGTAATGATGTAAATATAATTTTTAAAATCAGATAACAACTAGAAATGCATTCTCTGAGGATTACTTACCCTTTTCGTCTGGATTTCAACTCGAATAGCATCCCTAAGTTGTGTCTTCTCGTCAAGTTGTAGCTGAGCACGTCCGATCTGTTCTCTAATATTTTCATCATCATATCTTGGAATCCTGATCAAGAAACGGAATGGCCTTCTCCTGGTTTCCACACCCACATTCCGTTCATCGATAGCATCAGCACTAGAATCCTCTGGTGAAGATGTCGAGAACCCATCCCCACTGGTTCCTTCATCACCTTTGGTTTCTTGGCATGCTATCTTGTCATCGTCATCTCCATCTCCACTATTAAATTGACCTCCTACTTTTTCAATATTCACGACTTCTGGGCCATCATCTTCAATTTCGGAGCTCATATCATTAGCAGGGCAAGACGCTCTATCATCTCCATCAGGGCCATTCTCTTCAATTTCTGATTTTGCAACAGGACAAGGAAGGACTCTATCATCTCCATCAGGGCCCTTCTCTTCAATTTCTGATTTTGCATCATCAACAGGACAAGGAAGGATAGTTTCTCTGCTTTTAACATTGAGATTTTCAACTTCATTTTCAGATTTTATATCATCAGCAGAACAAGTAGGAAAACTATCAGTAGCTAGAGAAGACCCACATTCAACCTCTTGTTCTACCTCTGTGCTGTCATCAGAACCAGTAGGAAAACTTTCAGAACCTTCTGACACAGTCCCAAACTTAATTTCTGATCTCATGCAACGGCTAGAGGAAGGCAATATTTCAGCATTTTCAGAAGACGCATTCAATTCAGGTGGTCTTTCACTGCCGTCAATGCCTTCATTAAGTACTTCAGTTTGTGAAATACCATCTTCAACATGAGAAGTAGGCAACCTAACCATTGCATCGGAGACAGAATCATTGGCAATTTCAGTTTCTAATGATACATCTGTCTTGTTTGTAATATTTGCAGATTCATTGCCCTGATCCAAATTGCCATCAACACTGTCGGTAACCAAAATGTCAGCTTGCTGATCGGCTTTCATGTCTATACCAAAATCTGTTTTCTTTTCTTCCACAAGCTTCTCCTCCCCATTATCAAGCTGGCAGGACTCGGATGCAGCAGATTCTGAAACTGTGATTTGAGAATCCAGACTTTCTTCTACTTCCCTAGCTGATCCTAACTCTGTTGGCTCCTCAGACTTCGCCTTTTCAGCCTCAACCTCAGACAATTGAGGTTCAACGGCGCATATACCCACAATTTCAGATTCCCGACTCTTCTGTGTCACTGCTGTTGACTTTAAGTTATCTTGTTCCTCATTAAGCAATGACTCTTCACTCCCGTCTAATTCTGCAATTGGCTCCAAATTATTTTTGTCCTCAGACTTGACCTTTTCATCGTCGGAGTGATCAGCCTCGGACACACTGGTTTGGGATTGCGGAACCTCATGGACCTCTGCAGTTGAGTCTAAATTATTCCGTTCCTCAGACTTAAGCTTTTCATCATTGGAGCGATCAGCCACGGACACCATAGTTTGGGATTGCAGAACCTCATCTACCTCTGCAGTTGACTCTAAACTATTCGGTTCCTCAGACTTAAGCTTTTCATCATCGGAGTGATCAGCCTCAGACACCATAGTTTGGGATTGCAGAACCTCATCTACCTCTGCAGTTGACTCTAAACTATTCGGTTCCTCAGGCTTAAGCTTTTCATCATCGGAGTGATCAGCCTCAGACACCATAGTTTGGGATTGCAGAACCTCATCTACCTCTGCAGTTGACTCTAAACTATTCTGTTCCTCAGACTTAAGCTTTTCATCATCGGAGTGATCAGCCTCAGACACCATAGTTTGGGACTGCAGAACCTCATCTACCTCTGCAGTTGACTCTAAATTATTCTGTATGCCATCATCGAGCTGCTGTGATTCGCAATCACCAGCCTTTGAAACAATAACTGGGGATCCCTGATTCTCTTCTGGGTCAGGAACGGACTCCGACTGGATTTGCTCCTCAGCCTTCAGCTCTCCACCAGGCAGCATCGATTCATTACCAGACTCCAATTGACTTTCTTTCTCGACCTTCACCTCACCATCAACCAGCTGCAATTCAGAATCCATAGCCAATGTTCCATTTTGCTCCTCCACCGTATCAGTTTTCGCAACTTTGCCATCATCACCATCAGGTTTGACTACTGCCAATGTATCATTTTGCTCCTCCACTGCATCAGATTTTGCAACTTTGCCGTCGTCACCATCAGGTTTGACTACTGAACTTTCCATCGCCAATGTACCATTTTGCTCCTCCACTGCATCAGTTTTCGCAACTTTGCAGTCATCACCATCAGTTTTGACAACTGAACTTTCCACAGCCAATGTACCATTTTGCTCCTCCACTGCATCAGTTTTTGCAACTTTGCAGTCATCCCCATCAGGTTTGACCAGGGAACTTTCCGGAACAATATCACTGTTTGAAGGGGAATTGTCGGCGCCTTCAACAATGCAATTGTCCTCCCCACACAATTCAGTATTTTCTCCATTCTGACCATTCAATTCCCCAACTTGGACCTCTGCGTCCTCGATTTGAGAAGATTTGGGGACAGACTTCGTTTCGTCAGCACAATCCGAATTGAGATCCTTATCGACTGGATCATAATTCGGAGAGTTGCTCCGACTAACGAAAACATACGAATGGTCTGGATCATCCTTCACATTACCATTCTCAATCCCATTCACATCTTCTTCACCACCATCATCAGCATGCTTCACCCCGTTGCAATCCCCACCGACTTTAGGCAAATTTTCGTACGAACTCATATCCAACCCACACTTCTCCTCAATTTCAACCTTCGAATCCTCAGAAACTTCGCTACGAACTTCGTTTTCCGCCGTCATTGGAACCAAAACAGATCAACTTGTTCAAACGATCGCAAAGTCTATAATGTAATTTACATATACAATTACACATATATAAAGCGAGAGAGATCAAAAGATACGAAATGAGCATAAACAAAACAGTAAAACAATGAAAGCATGCAAGATCTCTCGGGATCAGACGGACTTACAGGATTCAGATGCGGGAATCACGATTTGCAGATCGAACGCCTGTAATGCGTCGCCTGAATCACCAGATCGAGAGCGAAATCAGCCAATCAGGAGCATTAACGAATGAGATCGATGAGATTAGGGTTTCGAATAGGAGAAAGAGAATGAGCGAGAGATAGAGGAAAAGAAAGGAAGGTGTTGCTCTTCTTCTTCTCCTTCTCCTTCTCTCTCTCTTTCTCTCTCTAAACAGAGTTACAAACGGAACAGCTGGCGAGGGAAAAAAAGGCCTTCCCTTATTACGTCTCTCTCACCACTCCGGTTTGAACTCCAATACCCATCACGTTTTCGTATTTATATATATATATATATTATCATTTATATAAAATATAATATTGTTTCAAATTTTACATTTATATAATTTCATCTATGTCATAAATTTGAGAAATTGATGATTTGTGATCAATTATTAAATGACACGTAATTAAATGTGTCAATTTTATTTTATTATTTAAATGTCAATTCATAATTAGTTCAAACTATGTAATTATTTTTTAAAATAAATAACACTCATAATTAGTCTGAACTATGCAATTATTTTTCCAAAATAAATCTCCACCTTACTAAATTTTATCTACGGTCTGTTAATTGAGTTTTTTTATAATCATTTTTAATCTTAGAAGATTAAAAAAAAATTTGAAATTCATTTTAGTTGTTATCTGGAAATTGGGATATGAAAATATGTTTTCAATTTTTAGAGTTTTTAATGTTATTAAAGAAGACAACCACTCGGGGTTTTAATATTGGTTTAACTATGCTATTGAATTGTTTTCTATTTTCCACAATTTTCACCTTAATTTTAACCGTTTGCCTTTTTCTCAAGTAAGCTTTAATTTTTTTACTCAAATCGATAGAGCCAATTTTTTTGAAACTTACTAAAAAGTAAAAACTATATTTATTATTATTAGTGCCACTTAAAAGCTTTTTTAATATGTTTGGTAAATTAACTAATTACTTAAATAATTTTAACACTTTTTTTTTTTTTTATAAAGATAATTTTATACCGTCATACTATTATTAAATATAGTAAAATTGTCAAATATAATAACAATCTATTATTAAAGGCATTATTGTAAAGTTAATAATAAAAATGCTGTGAAAAGAACCGTTACCAAACAAATTAAAAATTACTTTATAAGAATTCAGCTGCAAATTCATTCCTATTTTAATTTGGAAAAATGAGTTGTTTCACAAATTGTAAGAGAAATAATATATTACCTATATATATAAATATATAATTTCTTTCCTTATTATAAGATACCGAATATAAAAGAATGGAGAATTTATGGGGATGTATGTAAAATGAAAACACACTACCATCACCATCATCATTCTTTTTTTCTTTTCTTTTCTTTTTTTTTTTTTTTATCTTAAATGAATGGGTTATGTCATACTAATTTTAGTTTATTTATTTATTTTTTAATAGACAACATGTATCTTTCTTTTTTTTTTTAAGTCATTTTTAATTACTTCATAATTTCAAATGTAAAGTAAGAAAACAGAAGAAAAGAATTTGGAAATTATATAATAAAAAAATTAGTATATAAAATACACTAGAGTATGAAACAGATATATTAAATAGTATTTTTGTTGCTACCACTTTTCATTAATCATCCTTATCCTGTATTTCATGAAACTTTTCGCATCTGCCAAGCTAATATTCCAACTTCTTATGAATCTAGAAATTAGGTTTTTTTTTTTTTTTTTTCTTAAACAAATAAAAGCAGACAAAAAAGATTATATAACAGTTGTTTAGAACAAAGGAATAATTCTTATACAAATAAAAACAGACAAAAATAATAATAATAATTAGCATAGTTGTTCAGGAATTGTTACAAATAAAAGCAAACAAAAAGATTATCGTAGTTGTTTATAACTTGGAGACAAACTAAGAAAGCTTATGAAATAAAGCTCAAAGATCAATTCAAATATTATTATTCTTAAATTTTCTAGTGAAGTTGACTAATCCCTCTCATAATGGATGTGTCCTTATAATGATATGAAATCTCTCACCTTTATCTACTTTTTCACCAATGTTAATAGATATATTAATCACCGACATATTAATAAGTCAAATACGTGTAAGGTTATTAAGAAATTCCGTCGTGATAAAATTACTAGAAAGTTATTTCAATTTTAATAAGAAAACTGCTAAACACAGAGTCCTACTATAATTCATTAAAATCTTACTTAAACTCAAGTAAAACTATTAAGAGAATTTGTCACCAGAAAAATTACTGAATTAAGATAGTTTTCAAGATTTCTAAATAGTTATTATCATAATTTGTTAAAAACTTATATCAGTCCCATGAATTTTTCTTTCCCTTATTTTCCTATAACATGTATATATATATGTAAAAATCCACCTGAAATTCAAAATTATATCCTAAAACTAAACTTAACCTATACTTAAAAGTTTTCAAATTTCAAATATTTTTTCCTCCTTTGTTTAGCAAAAACAAATAAATAAATAAAATGGAATTCAAACTGCTTCATATTTCAAATTTAAAGAAAATCACATCCTAAAATTAAACTTAAACTATACTTGATTTTTCAAAATTTCTAACTCGTTTTTTTCCCTCTCACGATTTTGAAAAATTAAACAAAAACAAATGAAAAATTAACAGTGAAATGATAATGAATGTCACCTTTAAAAAGTCACACATGATTGGTTGTGTGGGCAACATTCTATCCGCAACGAACACTTGTAACATAAGCAATGTGTGTATTGGTGTGAATGTAGATTGAAACCGTGGTCATGAAAGGAAAAGACAATTCGACCCCTCTCTTTCCGCGTCTCCGTCACGAGGTTTCTACCACCTCCGTTGCTGGGACCCTAAATTGGACGTCACCATCTCCAGTCTCCAAACGTTCCTTAATAGATTGGGTCTCTACTCCTCCACCTTCACGCGTCTGACCCTGCCATGTTGGGCCCACCCGTGGCTGGATCAGGCTCTCAACTAACAGAAAAATGGTGGTCCCACACAAACATCAGATTTTACGAATTATTAAGATATCCAACTTTAATTTTATTTATTTATTTATTATTATTATTATTTTTCATATCCAACTTTAATAACCATACTTGATTTTCATTGATGATATAATGGATTAAGGTGAATATAAGTGTAAATATGTTGAAACGATTAATTTATAAAAATATATAATAATACCGAATTCTTAAAAAAATATTACTAATTAATCAATACGTCATACATCCATTGATACGACGAAACATGAATTCATTTTGTTAGAATTGCGGGTGACAATTTTTTTCATGAAAACTATCATCTTGATTTAGTATGAGTTCAATGGAATAGTATTTTTTAAGTTTTTATTTTTATTTTCTTTAACCTAAATGAGGCAATCTAGATAAATATTTTTTTTGTTAGGGTTGTATGTAAACAATTATGAACATGCTTGCTAGGGGACATGATATGTTTAATTTATGAACAAGTTGAACATTAACATGTTTCATTTGTTATCACCATTTAGACCCTTTATTTTAACCTATATTATCAAACTTTATTTTTTATTTGAAATAAGTTCAATGACAAAGCAATCTAAACAAAACACATACTTATCTAAGAAACTGATATTTCACTATCCAAAAGGGTGCGTGGCCGTGGAAAAAAGAAGAAAGGTAGAAGTAGCTATGGATGGCAAAATGTCACATATTTTCTCACTCTGCGATGGTTTAGAATACTTAATAAAGTTTGGAAAGGATGAGGTGAGGAAATAAAAACCCAGAAATTAGCCCGCTTACCCTTTTTATGTCACAAAAATAGGAGAGAGAAGAGGCACACCCGCTCGGAAAATTAAATACTCTATCAATTAGATCATTAGGTAATGCTAACACCTATAATTTATTAAAATAATACAAAAATATACTAATTGTGTTTCTTATCGAAAATAACGATTGGGTTTCTTAATTTTCTAACGTTGATTTTTCATGTTATTTTGTTATTTTGAATTTTCTCTCATTAATAATTTAATTAAGAAAATAGTAAAATATTTTTTTAAATAAAAAATGAGTAGGCAAGGTGGGAAAGATTTGAATAGATTTGAGGAATTTACAATTAAAATACAAGATATTATGTTCAACGGGGACGAAAAGGGGGTCACTTCTCCAAATTTATCCCATTGTCGTACCTAACTTCACCATCACCAGGCTATTTTCGGCTACAAATTGGACCCTTGAATCTAAAATTAAAAAAATAATATAATTCGAGGATCGAACGTATCTAATTATTTTAATATGAGTGAAGAATAATAATATCATCATGTCACAACCTCTTTAAAATATCTTTATTTTTGATCTACTTAAATACTCCATAATTTTAAGGTGACTTGTTAAACATTTTATGAGATCACCTATCTCCACATGACAAACCATCTAAGGGCTTAGTATGCCATGCCATAAATTAGGTAAAATAAGGCAAAAGCCAGCTTTTCACAAGAATTTTAGATCAAAGATAAATTAATATATATAAAAGATGCAGATAGGAAATTAACATTTATTGCCTTACCCACCAAAATAATAATAATAATAATGTCAACTAAAGTTGAAAGTTATTGAATGTACCCAAAATGCATCAAGCTCTGAATTATTTGGCTAAAGTAAATACAAAAACATTATAATGTTTAAAAATGAATTTATGCACCATTCCTACTCCACACATATCACGTGGTCCGTTGTTCAAACTGTCTTTTACCCGTCCCCTTTTAGGGGCAGGGAAAGCGGTATGACATGAAATATTCAAAAAATATATATTGTTATATAACAACCTGATTGGAAAAAAATCAATGTACAATAATTTAAATGTTATGGAGTAACTAAGTATATATATGATACAGGGTGAATGCAAAAAACATCCTGTTATACATTTGGATTTTTCGGATGCAGGTTGGCCAGGCCCACTCTCAAATACTCGAAGATATCAAAACGAATAGACAATAATCGAACACAGAGTACAAAACAGATAACATGTATAAATAAATGACCGAAAGAAACTAAAATGACAATCCTTTAACAAAATCTCAGAATAAATTTTCCATTAACAAATTCATCTGGTACAAGTAATCCTTCAATTTATATAATTCGGAAATCCATACTTTGTGGACCCCTGGAAAACCAAAACTAAATAAAAGACAGTTATAACTGTCTACATCAGAAAACTAAAACATAAATGAACTCTTAAGTAACACAATCTGGAAGAGTAAAGAAGATAATCCTTGCTCAGCACGAACAATCCCTATTCCTG